CTAGTATAGTAAATATTGTAAGGTATGATATTATGTGAATTTTATTCTATATAATTATAAGTATGATCTTGTTGGTCCAATGTGATTTGATCGTGTCAAATGTGTTATACTTTCAGATAGATAGATTCCAATGAAAATATACTTGGTAATACCCGATTTGTCTAATTTTATGTTTCACTATAATTTGCGGTTACCTTTCCATGGTAATACATACTCCGTTCGTCCCGTTGGAATGTTCCCGGTTTGACCTACACCCCGGGGTAAATTTTACTGTTTTGAGACTGTTTCAACTAGGGGGGCTGCACATCGGGCGGGTTGGGTCGGGTTTGTTATATTTTTTGGGCCTACCCAATATGTTCGGGTTGGCTATAAACCAACCCGCGATATGCAATATAAGTTGTTAAACCATACAGGAACGGGTCGGGTAGGGTCAGGTTTTTGAAAAAAAATCACACCGGGTTGCATCTTTAATGTGGGAAACTAATGTAACCAATTTGAAACTCGATCAACTTGTTTCCAAAACACACAAACAAATACAAGTATCTTTTTAAAAAACATTGGGTAATAGTATTAAAACATCCTTTCGTAAAGGAAGTTCATTTAGAAACAAATGTAAATATATAATAATCATCTAGTCAAAATGATACGTAGTAAATGTTTAATTATAATTCTAATATCATAAAGTCCTAGATAGAGCACATTTGACGTAGATTGAAGTTGTTCAAGAAAAATTGTAGCACAATAATAGCAAAATGAATAATATTAGTCGGGTCGGCTACGATCGGGTTTGAGATTTCAATTCCACTACCCTACCCATTAGGTGCGGGTTCGTACATATTTAACCTGTGAATACTTTTTTAAATTAAATACCCGATTAAATAGGGTCGGGTAGGGTTGGGTCGGGCGTGTTATGCGGGTTCGGGTTATTCTTGTGCAGCCCTAGTTTCAACACTGTTTGGCACTGTTTCGATACTGTTTGACACTGTTTTGCACTGTTTGACCCTGTTTTGATGTAGGATAACTTTCCATTTTGGGAAATGGGAACTTTCCAACGGGACATCCAAAAAAGGAAAGCGGGAACATTCCAACGGGACGGATGGAGTACATGTTAGTATGTTACTATATTAGTACGAAGTACAATTTAAATATTTAAATATATCTAATTAAGTTACACCAGTACGTGCTTGGAATTGATTAATTAAAAATGAGCGATGGCCTCCAGAGAACCCTAGCGTATGGCGCCACCGGCTCGCAGCAGAGATTGATCGGACAAAATCGATGCAACAGGGCTTGAGAGGAGGATTGTGGATTGCACAACACATGACCGAGACTTAGCAGCGAGTAGATGTACGGTTTTGGCCATTGTTGTCTTGCTTCTGTTTGGTTTTCTGATTAGTCGGGTCCAACTGAGTTTCTGGCTCCAGCCGAGGGTATTTTGTGTTTGGTTTCGCTGTAAATGTTGTGTGCGCACAACAGTTTTTTTGTAATCCATTTTGTTGCGCGTGTTGATCTTTCCCCCAATGGAGTTCACCCGGGGAAGATGGTGAGAAAGAGAGACAACTGATGGGGATACAATAGAAGACTACAAAGGCAGGATGCTTCCTGATTCATGGGCTTATTTCAAAGGGAAAAGAAAAGATGGGAGCTGAAGCAAAGTAAAATCAAGCTAGAGTTCTTGACGAGGGAGAAACTAGGAAACGTAGGGTAGTGGACTTGCAGAATTTAGTAGAAGTTGAAGTTAATATGGAAATGGACCAAAGGAATTGAAGCGGGATGCTTTCTGTGGAGGTGGTTGGACAAATCTTTTCTCCCTTTCAGATGGCTTGTAAAATCGGAATGACGTTTTTGGAGGTGGTTAATAAAACCTATTTTCTCTTGCTGGTGGCTGAAAAAACTAAGAGTTTTGATTCCTTTTGTTGCTTTCATTCTAAGAACTCTTGTTTTAATTTATGACCCTCTATTTGACTAGCAAGTTCAACAATGCTATTAGTTTAACCTACCATGATGCGGGATTAGCGAATTTGATGAGCCCTCAGGGGACTAATCAATTCTATGTCTCACCATAGTGTAGCCTTGAGTTATTGTATTATTTTGTTTCTTACTACTCTCATTGTTAATAATAAATAAGTTTTTTCCTTTCAAAAAAAGTTACACTAGTATGTATTTCTATTGATCTGAATGACAAATAAAGTGGTAAAATTTTAGTAGATAAAATTAAAAATGAAAGAGAGGTAACTTGAATGAGCTGAGAGAGCACAAATTTAAAGAGGAAACAATTCAAATTAGGATTAAAATATGGGCATCTTTGAGACACAGAACCATATATTTTGTTTTCCTTAAACAAGACTTAATATTACATATTCACCTCTAATATATAATCAATTAATATCATTAATTGACTCGGAGTTCTTTTGCATCAATAATGTCAGTTTGTTGGCAGTGACAACGAACTCCGGCGACGGTGCAAAACTCCGATGGCCGCGTAGAACTTTAGCAACAACATTCTGGCAGCAGATTGGCAGTGGCGTCCAGCGGTCCAGCGGTCTGTTGACAACACTGCTCCAAAACCTATAAAAGTATTTTTATCCAGTCAACAGTATTAAGTTCTATTTATGAAATTTTAGAGCTAGTTAATGAGCATGTTTTTCCGGCTTATCAATCTTATCATCTAACTTTTTCTCACGCTGAATTGTGTAATAATAAGAAAAAGTAAAGTTGGAGTCACTTTTCTGGTTGTATTGGCTGAAGTTACTGTAGACGACCATTTAGCTATTTTTCATATAATTTTTTCTTTATTTTATTAATAAAATACTTTGTAAAATCAACCGATGCAGTCCACTTTGACATTACTGAACGGGGTCTTCAATATCAGGTCTTGTTTTTTAAAAACCCATGTTTTGATCTCGAAATCTCCCAAATTTAAAGTAATTAACTCAACCGTATGTTTATTGAATGAATATGAGCATATAAAGAGAATGAATGAAATAAAAAAAAAACACTCCAGATCTCTGAGAATCAGGATGTTTTTAATTGGACTACAATTTGTTGGTCTGGTCTGGTTTGGTTTGTTTTAGTCTGATCTGATCTGGTCTGATCTGGTCTAGGACGAATTATGGTCTAAGTAAAAATAAGCTCAGATCAGCACGGGCCAGGTAATTAATTGGGAAGGAATGAAACAAATGAATTAAGGGAAAACTGTCAAATAGGTCCTCGAACTTTCATAAAAAAATCAATTAAGTCCTTCTATAGGAGACTCTGTCCGGTCGTCGCGATTTGAGGCAGTTCCCGGTGGAATTGTTTGATGAAATTTTTTGAGCATCTTATTCATCAAGTCTAGTTTACTCATACAAAATTTCAGCTAAAAATTTAATCGGGAGCGCATTCAAATTAATTCGAGAACGCAAAAATGCGTAGTTATGTTCAAGAATTAATTTGGATGTGTTCCCGATTGAATTTTTAGCTGAAATTTGGTATGAGTAAACTAGACTTGGTGAATAAGATGCTCAAAACATTTCATCAAAAAATTCCACCGGGAACTGCCCCAAATCGCGACGGCCGGACAGAACCTCCTATAAAAGGACTTAATTGACCTTTTTATGAAAGTTGGAGGACCTATTTGACAGATTTCTCATGAATTAATGAGCATACAAAGAGTGTCTAATGGCTTGTTGTACATCTCATCATTTTAGTGTGGACTAGAGAGAAATAGTTGGATTCCACTTCAAAAGTCAAAGTGAAATGAGAGATTGAAATAAACCACTCTCTAGTTGACTCCAAATATAATGTCGACGTACTAAACATGAATAAATAGCAGGGATTTGTTAAAACCAAAGTTACAAATCTTACAATCATATAAGATTCATATTGCCATCAAATATTAATACACTTATACACTGGAGTAATATTAATGCTCTAATAAGTAATAATATAAGTTTATGTCATTAATTAATAATATGAAAACACTCAACAGTTCAAATTCATGACATTGGCGCACGCACATATATATAAATTTTATCAATCCGGGACCTGAAAGATAGACAAACTATCAATTCAGGACTTGAAAGATGAAATGTATCGGTATAAGACCCGAATGATGGAAAACTATCAATCTAGGACCCGAATGATTGAAAACTATCAATTTCGGACCTATGTTTTCATAAATTTTATTATTAATTTTATTTTAAAAAATTTAAATAATATTTAGTTTTATTAAACTAATAAACTTTTGTGAACAAAATTTCACCAAATATTAGCAATGGAATTAATAAAAAATTAAATAAATCAAAACCTATGAAATGTTAGGTCCTAGATTGATAGTTTTTCATCTTTCGAGTCCTATACTGATACATTTAATCTTTCAGGTCCCGGATGAATAATTCGTCTATCTTTCATCCCAAATTGATAAAATTCCATATATTATATGATGATATGATACGACGACAAAATTACTAGGAAAAAAAATCGCACTCTTAATTAGGAAAGCTGTTGAGTTTTATGCAGGACAATTTCTCTAATGCCAACTCTAAACTGGATGAACATTTTTTAAAGAGAAAAAGGTCAAAGTAAGAAATTGTCAAATAAGATCATGTACTAAATAAAATGTCATATAGATACATCTACTTATAAATAGCAATCATACGAGTCCTAACGACTTTTTGACAAGCTTGTAATGCCGGATTAGCGTACGTCCGACTATCTTTTCAAAATATATTATAAGGCATATATGGAATATTTAATCAAGATTGAGTTACATACAAGGCAAAAGTAACGGCACTTAAGCTAATTAAAATTGAAATTAAGAGGTTGTCAACAGGTTGTTAGGACTCATATGATTGCTTTTTATAAGTAGATCTATTTATTTAAACTTATGTGACCATTTCATAATCGTAGAAGATCTTATTCGACTCTTTTTCTTTTTTTAAATAAGTATAAATGATGAACATTGAAAGATCCGAAGTATTAAATTTATACGGAGTACGTAACTTCCCAAAGTAGAACTAAATTCAACAAAATGTAATGAATACATTACATTGCTTTTTATTATTCTAAAAATCAAGCTTAATAAGAGACTAGTTACAATAAAAACAATTATATACTTCGTATATTTTTGTGTGAATGATATTTTGGTCTTCCTAGTAAACTATCCTGAAATAATAGTTTGTTCCCAAAAACACGGGATAAGCAACTACTCCGTTTGGCAAAGATCAAAAGAGTCGAATGAATTGAATTTCTTTTTGCTAAAATCCAAAGCAACAATAAATAAATAAATCATTGCTTTGTAGGTGGGACTGCGACCGACTCAGAAACATAGATTGAACGGACAGGATTCAGAAGCGGCGGAGATATCATCTCGGAAGAACCACTTCTTCAACAATCGTCTCTAACATAGGCTTCTTTGACCTGGACATAGACATCCGCAATCTGAACTCCGGCGACAAGAAATCGTCAATAATCTCATCCAAATCCAACTTAGGCAACTTCTCAGAACCATCTTCGTCTACTTGATCTAAATCGCCGTCTATTTCCTCGCTGCGATCGTGCAGGCGGCTTCCAGGAGCCGCGACGACGGTCCTTTTAGCCGCGAGGAACAACGCGGCGACATCGGCAGCGGTGACGGCGGAGCCGAGCCGCTTCATCGGGAAGACGGCGTAGACGTTGGCGATCTCGAGATCTTCATCGGCGTAGAGGGCGGAGAACCTGCGCCCAATCTGCAGAGACTTGGAGTTGACGACGAAGTGGTTCGGCGATTCGAGCATGACCTCCGCAGCGTTGATCGGGCGCGAGAAGTGGCGTATTTCGCCGCTTGGGAGGATGACCTTGGTTTGCTTGGCCGATGCCGGAGCCGATAAGGCGCAGGACACGTAATTTCCCATTTTGAACAATATTGTATTTGTAAATGAATGAAATACTGAGCAACAAATTTGGTTAAGTTGAAGAGATGGTCTCTGGGCATATATGTATTATATCTGGAGTATGATGTGTAAGCCAGTTGTAAAAATGTGTTGAGAATAGTTGACAGGGAGTGTCCGCGTAGGTTGGAAATTGGGTGTTAGTTCAGCGAAAGGAAATTGCCTCACCCCCTCATAATCTGTATTCTATACCATACTGCCATTTTTAAGTGCCAAAGATGAACTTTTCCTTTTCTTGAATAAAAGAATGTGTCAAGATTCAAGAAAAGACTTGGCTGAAACAAGGGGGAAAATTGCTAGTTTAAATTATCCCAACAATACTCACATGCATGAATTTATGATATTCTTTCTTAAATTTCACCCACCTGCTATAATTGTCCCATTTTTTGTTTTTCTGTCCGTCCAACTAAAATTGTTCCAAATCATATTTGATAATATTTGTGCGACTCAAATTGATTTTTACTTTATCCTCACTTCATCAACTCATGCCTCAAGGACAATGTTAATGTTTTCTTCTTTTACTATTATAGTGCATTAATTTTTTTCCTATGAATGTCATCTTTATGATTGTAGTTAGGGCTCTTAAAAATCTGGTGACCATGCATAGGTCGTTGTAGATGCTGTCAAATGACAATGATTGATTGAATGAAGGGCTTAAGAAAATATTATAGAGCTAATCAATGCTAATAAAGTGTTTGATAAAATGACTAAATCAAAACGTGTATAATGTGTTCTAGATTTGAAATGAAATGTAAGATTACATTGACACTTAAAAACTAAAAGGTTTTTTGGCTACATACTATAAGTGTTGTTTGATTTTTTAAAATCTGTCTGAGTCTAAAATAGTGTAATTTATTTATGAATATTTTCCCTTTGGGTACCCGTGGGTCTAGCGGGTCGGGGCAGGGGATATATGGGGCGGGTCGAATAGTAGTGGGGGATGGGGCAAGGGTGGGGGCGAGTTTTTAGACATGGGGTGGGGGGTGGGGGAGTGAACCCCCACAACAACCCCTCTCCATCGTCATCCCTAAACATTTGCGTGACTCTAATTATTTCTTACTTTATTCTCACTTTATCAATTCATTATCAATCACATAATTCTATTTTTTAAAAAATCACACCACTCTCTTCCGTTCCAATATTGGGGGACAGAGGTACTACATAATTTGTTACAAAAACATTCTAAGAAAATTTCAAAAATTAGTTTATAACGTTTGTCAAAATTTTGAGTTTTTTTCTTCGATTATGTGTAGCACTTGTGTGTTACGGAGGATTAATTTTTCTACAGGCACAAATAAAAATCAATAACATTTTTAATTTTAAACTAGGAAAAGTTGAAAAGGAATAAAAAATCCATAAATTTTAATCCAAAAGCATATTTGTAAAGAAATACGGAGTATGAAGTTCCAGTCTTTTTTAATCAAAAATAGAATAAGATAAAAAAAAGGATGACACCCCATCCCTGAGGGCCCCCCAACCCCGACCGGACGGTACGTTGGGAGGATGTAAATTGGACTATAATCCCAATCTGACAGGTAGAGAGTGAGACTATGTCCCCGATACTTGCAGAGACCCTGTGCATTTTTAGCATAGTAACCCCTCATCGCAGTTACCGGGATTCGAACCCGAAACCTAACCCTTGTGGCACTCCCTTGATACCAGTTCAGCTACGTCCACCAGTAAAAAATAGAATAAGATAGATGTGTTAATAGTTACCCATTTATTAAATGATCCAAAAACTTGATTGGCACTATTTATTTCAATTTCCAATAAACACCAGCTGCAAAATTCATTTTATGTCAATTCACGTGTTGAAAAAAGAGTGAAAAATCTATAGTATTGGTGTTCTGGTAATAGCGTGTGGAACCCACGCATAGCTTTGTTCTTCCGACTATGTTGCTTCTCTTCATGTTATTCATGTGGTAGATCTCACGTGCCTTGTAAGTGCCACTCGTCATTAAATTATTTCATTATATCAATATTCTATGATATCCTTTATAAATTTGTTTAATAAATTTTGATAGTCACTGAAGTGAAAAAACGAGTAATAGATATTTACGCGAAGAAAGAACATATAGACCACACACTAGAAAACACTTTAAAAGTCAAATTAGTTACTTTGATCAACCATGACATGGACGGATCCAGGATTTTGAATCAAGGGGTGAAAATTTTCGTTAGTTAAGGAAATAAAAAAATTCACTAGTGTAGCGGGGCGAATTTTTTTGCTAATGTAGCGAGGTGAAATTTTTTACTGGTGTAAGGCTTTGCGGCTATTTTTATTCAAAAAAATTATTAATACATACGAAGTATATGATAATATTTAAATCTATATATTACATTCTAAGTTTAGACAATGACAAAACAACTTTAATTTTATTAATTGCGGTGCTCTAGAAGAAAGTATTGATACATTAAAGCGTAAGAAATGACAAATCAAAGGAAAATAATATAAAAATTAAAAAGGATATATATCATTTTATTTAAATATAAAGAGTTTATAAGGTACACATTCACCAATACTTTTAAAATAACTTCAACATTGTTTAACTACATGAGTCTTATAGAAATAAAGAATTGATTTTTGAATTACAATTTTTGTCTACCATGGAGAGTGTTCATAAGTCACAAGGAGTTTTTTTTAATATTACAATGAGAAATGGTGCTAAATAGGAGCTTAAGTTTCCATGTGTAATTAAATAAGACCTTCACATTTTTAATTCTTAAATAAGACTTATTTTCCTGTTTCTTCCATATTTATCCTTAATCCCTATTTCCTTTTGTCTTCTTTGTCGACAAAGTCACACTAAGATCGAATGAGATGAGGCGAGTAATTGCGCGGAAGTGGCGGCGGTGTTTGGCAGACCTGAGCCTAAGACCAAAGGGACAATAGACGGCGAGTCGGTGAGGAAGAGGTGCACGGTGGCTCCCGAGAACGGAGAAGATGATACAGATCTATCTTCTCTCCTCCTCCTCTTTCTCCTCCTCACTTTCTCTTCTCCTCTCCTTCTCCTCTTCGATTCGGTCGCTGCTTTTTCTCTCTTCTTTTTCAAGCTTCTGTCGCTAGCGAAGCTTCTTCTTCGTGGATCTAGAATTGATCCTTCTGCCAGTTCTGTGCATCTTCGATCGAGGCTACAATATATATTTTTCCCCACTTCTTTAGTGCATCACCGTTGTTTTAGTTTTTCTCTTTTTACTTATTTTGTTATTCAAGTAGATTGTTCAATTGGTGATCTGAGTTCTGGATATGAGATATCGACTAAGCATATAAAATAATGGAGATTCTTGGAGTAACAGAGTAAAAATTTGCTTGATGTATGCGCTATCTACTTTTTCTTTTTCTTTTGTTTTGTAATTTTCATTTTCGTAATTTCTGCAGTTTTTTTGCTTGTGAGATCTCGTGGGCTGTTTTATTGTTAAAAAATTACTCCGTATTACTTCTTCTTTTTCAGTTTTTTTGCTCATACTCCATATCTCTTAAACATATATGCACTACGATTCTAAGAGCGATTAAACAATGTTTTCCACTAGTTTATTAAGTTATTTATTAAACATATACGCACTACATTATTTTTGTGTCATTTATATTATATTTTAACAGTCAAGGGAAAATAAACATAAAGTATAAAGTGATGAATGTGAATTGGTTTTGTCTTGCAAACGTTGCATTTGCTGAAAATAAAAATGTCATTAGTTTTAACAATGTCAATTTTATAATGATGATTGACATTCTTATGTCATTGTCATTGACATTCTTATGACTTATCATTGACATTTTTATGACATTATCATTGACATTTTCATGACATTGACATTGTCATCGTGATTAATTGACTTTACGACATTTTTTCGTCATTGTGAGTTTTTGTTTATAAAATTAACATTGTCATAATAGCTATTGACATTGTCATAATTACAATGTCATTTTATAGTATCGACAATGACATTGCCATTGTAACATTTTCTTAACCCGATGACATTTTTATACGTTTTATGACATTTTTATGACATTCTTTTGACTTTTTTTTTATAAAATTAACATCGTCATAATAGTTATTGACATTGTTATAATTACATTGTCATTTTATATCATGACAATGACATTATCATTGTGACATTTTCTTAACCCGGTGACATTTTGACATTGTCATTGGCATTAGCATTGTGCACTTTGACCATGCAAGTGTTAACATCTTTTTTAATAATGACTACAAAAAGTTATATTTATATTACTCCGTATCATTTAACATTTTATTATAATTGAGAGTCCTTAATCTTGAATTTAATGTCATCCTCCTTTTGAAAGTAACTGCCAATGCCAAAATAAAAAGATGCAAAATAATGAAGTAATGCGACTTTTACAGAGCACCACCAATCTCACTTTGAATAAAATGGTACAGAAGACGGAGAAAGTGGAGACGGAGTTCAAGGTCGTGCTGGAGACCATCACGCCGTGCGCGAACAACTGTGGCGTCGTCGGCATCCTGTCACCAACAACATGTGTCAAAAGTGCTTCACCGCAACCACCGTGTCCACATCCAGCTCCATCTCGGGTTCTTCGGTGGCGATTCTGTTCAAGTTCACCAAGAAACCCCCTAGATCTACCTTCCGATGTCGTCTCGTGCAAGGCTGGTTCCAGGTCTGGACAAACAGGTCCCGCCAGACAAGACCAATGAGAGAGATGATGATGTCTCAGAATCTGCTGCCAAGAGAGAGGTAAATCTTTGCTCCGGGTGCCAGAGGAAGGTCGGTTTGACCGGGTTCCGCTAAGGTCCGACGATGGAGTGCGGATGGTCGAAGTTTGGTGTTCGTTGTTGTGAGTTGCAACAGTTTTTTTGTTTCGCATAGAAAACGACGATAATTTGGAGACTTGGGCATTTTTGTCCCTCCATGTAAAAATTAGTCCTATTTGTGAGTTAAAAAGTCTCAAGTCCTATTTGCCTACCGTAGGAATGTTTTAATCTTATTTATGTCTTTTTCCCTATTACAATAGTATGTATGATATTATTATTTTTAGA